AACCCTGGCAGTGTTCACAGCCAGGTTGGCTAAAGCCTTGAGCAACCTGCTCTGGTGGGAGGTGTCCCTGCCCAGGGCAGGGGGTTGGGGCTGGATGAGCTCTGAGGTCCCTTTCAACCCCTTAACATTCTGTGATTCTATATGTTTATTTTCTTCTTTCAGGTTGGCTCGGGTAGAGTCAACTGTGTTTCTCCAAAAATAGGGCAAGACTAATGGGAAATGTACTATGGACACATCCCTAGGTCTCAAAGGGGAGATTTGTTGAAATGAAGTACCAGGAGAAGGTTAAAAATTCACTGAAGTACAGGACAGAATAAAAGAACTTATGAAAGTTGAGAGAATAACCAAACCCGCAGGAACTGAGATCCATGACCCCAGAAGTGAAAAGCAGGAGGACACTATAAATCAAATTACAAAGGCAAATACTAACTTTGTGTGATCTCATTAGCATAGTAAAATCCCTAGCCACAGGCTGTGATCACCCCTCACACATGTAAGCCCCTTCCCCATAGAGCATAAGTAGTAAAATTGAGTGTGCAGAGTGTCTTTAAAGGGAGATGAGAGAATGCAGAGCAATGATTAGAGCTTCAGATCATTATGTATAAGGAAATGCTGATTTCTATGGATTGGAGTACGTAAAAGGGAGCACCTATCATGCTGAAGGTGTGGCAGCTTGGTGGATTCAGCACCCAGTCCTGGGCAGATCTGAAATCAAATCAGTTATCTTGACTCTGTGTGTGCTTCAGCTTCTTGCACACAAGGTGAGAGAACCCATACTTGGGGTAACAAGGAGAGGGGCTGGCCTGGAGGTTTGCAGGGTCCAGCACATGCCCCCAGGTCAGTGACAGAGACAGGGAGCACCCAGGGACAGCTGCACCCTGACTTCCCAGGGTGGCACTCAATGCACACAGCCAGACCTCTGCCAGCACCAGGAAAGGTGTTCAGGAGGGTCAGGTGCAATGAGGGCTCCCCAGCACAGCATTTCCCTCCCAGCATTGCCCTGTTTGACTCAGCTGAGATAAGGCAGCTGAAACTGAGTCTCTGCAGGAGATTGCTCTTGTGATAGCCCTGCAGGGCTCTTATCAGGGAGGTGAATCAG